TGATGATGATGATGATGATGATGATGATGATGATGATGATGATGATGATGATGATGATGATGATGAAGCCTACGTGGCGAAACGTCGAGCTGATTTCATAAAACAAATTGTAAACATTTTATATTTATATTTTTTGTCTGTAAATCAAGCAAGGCTCTCCCTCCTACTCTGCTTTTTAAACAATGAAGTTCTATCTGTTCAGTAGTACCTAGTTTTGAGAAATTTGACGGCAACGATTTTGAGTTCGACTTCATGTCAAGCTTTTTCGAATGCAATTCTTTGAACATCTTGAAAATGACTCCAAACAATCTCACGATGTTGACAGAGCAGATTATGTGGGAAGGAGGGGGTTGCGATTTTTATTGACTCATTTTTTTATGTGGGAAAGGGGGTAAAGGGGATGGGGGGCATAGCTCTAGCACACTGGTCTGGATAATGATCACTGTCCCAACTATAAAAAGAAAGTACTAATTGAGAAATCAGTATGAATAAAGTCACGTCTATCTATCCATCTATCAATCCATCCCTCCTTCCCTCCATCCATCCATCCATTCATTCATCCGTCCATCCATCCATCCATCCATCCATCCATCCATCCATTCATTCATCCGTCCATCCATCCATCCTTTAATCCATCCACCCATCTATCTATCTATACATCCATCCTGAGCAGATAGATCATTTGGTTTCTGACCTCATGGTCTTAGTGACTCAAAACAGCCAAAGCCGAACCTTGTAATTCTGAGGTAGCAAAACGCGTAAGTGATAGTAACAGGAACATCGAAAAGTTCATCTGCACGCTTCCTGGGAAGTCGAGGGTTTTTTTGCTAGTGTTTAAAGGTCTGGGATGGTAAATAATACAGATTGTAAAGTGCTTAGAGCATGATACAAAACGCACACATACACAGATACATACACAAATACACACACACATACACACATACACATATACATACAAAAAACCCCCCAAACACACGTACACATACACACAAGCAGATACACACACACATAAAACCACACATCATACACATACACACATAAACACACACATAAACACACACATAACACACACATACACACACACACACACACATACATATTCACACACAAACACACACACATACACCGA